GTCAGGAAAACGGACTTTATGACGACAGGCTGAGAGCCATGGGGCTCTTTAGCCTGGAAAAGCGCAGGCTCAGGGGTGGGTGATCTGATGGACACCTATAAGTTTATCAGGGGTGACCACCAGTATCTGGGGGAACATTTGTTCACCAGAGAGCCCCAAGGGATGATGAGGTCAAACGGTTATAAACTACTGCAAGACCATTTCAGGCTGGACATAAGGAAGAATTTCTTTACTGTCCGAGCCCCCAAGGTCTGGAATAGCCTGCCATCAGAGGTGGTTCAAGCACCTACATTGAACACCTTCAAGAAAAAAATTGGATGCTTACCTTGCTGAGATCCTATGACCCCAGCTGACTTCCTGCCCTTCGGGCAGGGGGCTGGACTCGATCTTCCAAGGTCCCTTCCAGCCCTAATGTCTATGAAATCTAATTTTCCTAAAGTATGTCTGAACAGAACTAGCTCTTTTAATATTTACAATAGCCAAACTAAAAAGATAGAAGCATGGGCGAAAAAGAAAAAAAAAATCACTACTTAAACTGCAACAAATACATGAGGATTTGTGGGGAACAGAGGACAGTTTTCTCAACTGTACTGACAAGCCTCAGAGGCAACACAAATTTCAGTTACAGGAAATGCATTGTAATGCGTGCTTACCAGACACTGTCCTGGCCGAAATTAAGGCAAGGTAGGAGTCTATCGTCTGCTTGGAAAGCAGACAGAAGATGATTCAGTTTAAGAGTTAGTGATTTTTTAAGGATGATATCGTGGTTAGTGCAATCCAGTCTACTTCAGTTTTTCGAAAGGTTTGCAATTTCAGTATTGTATAATCTATTTATATGCATTTTGGATAAGTTCATTGTTTGCTCAAACACTTAACAAAAAAAACACCACCAATGTTTTGCCTATAATTTACACTGAAACAACAAATATGCAGATAAATGGTGTTTAAGTCCATGAACTTTAATGAATTTAGAGCATTCTCTGACATCACTTTTGTAATATAATCACACCATTTAGAAGCATTATAAATTGGCACCTGAAAGGACAAAAGGGAAGGAAATTGATCCGTTCCCATCATTGTCAAAATCTAATAGTAAACCTGAAACTGACCAATAGAAGCCTCTGAAACTAATGGAACTTAGCTGGTCTTGGTGCTGCTAATACCACAGTACTGTGTTCAGTGCGCACTGGTTTGGCATTATTTCAGTGCTGAGGCTAGACATTTAAACAGAGTATACCGTAAAGATGTAACAAAGCACCACAACGAATAAATAAGAGACTTAAGTATCATCTCCCCACCCCTTTAAAATTATGCTATTCTCTCCCTTACACAAATTGCAAGGGATATTGTATTACTGATGACTGCCAGTGAAGTGTTATCATAATCTAGTCAAGGATTTTAAGCCCAGATCTTGACAAGCCTCTTCTATTTTTACCTGTATTGACAGTAAATGTTTTTTGGTTTGTATGTTTTTTAGGACAGGTATATAGTACATTGATAACTGGGCCAAAGTAAACTCAAATCTTCCTAAATTCTGAAAAAAAATGACAGGTGAAGTTTTCCCTCACTCCTACTTGCAAAATCTCAGTATATCCTCTACTTGGGTTTTAATGTACTTAATTTCCTGAACTCTCCCATGAGTACAAAATTTGATTTATGCTTTGACATCTTCACTAACAGATGAAGAGTTTTTAGAGTCCAAGATGGACCAGCAGAAGCTGCAAAATCTATTCCAACACAAAAAAAGATGGGCTTGTCCTGTGATTAAGGAGAGAGTAATCCCCTTTGTTTTGCCTTTAACTAATCTTTAATTTGCCTTTAACGATTTAAATCATACACTTTCCATCCTTCTCATAGGGATGCGTTTTCAAAGGAAATGTTTCATTAACATTTTCTAGATCTTCACTCACCACATCAGGAGATGCACAGATTTATGGGGAAAAAACAATACTGAAAGAATGTCAGGACACAGTATATCACCTATAATATCAGGCTGACCCAATGAATAAGGGCAGATGAAGTATCTATCCCACAAGTTAGCTGCTTAGAGATCCAAATCCACACGACTACCTCAGCTGAGGCTAAGCAACAGCTGTTCTTTCTGACAAAGCTTCAAGGGTTCTGTTGACTCTTCTCACCTCCCGAGCAGGCTCTTATCTGTGGTACTCAAACCCCTATTCCACCATTTCTCCTGATCAACATAGACTTGAGACTGTTAGGAGAAGAGGCACGACTAGTAATTTTGATGCCCTGAACAGAGATACTGTCAAGCACTGAAGAACTGGTGGGGAAGGAAGGGGGTAATGCCAAGCACTAGAAAGCAGGAGTGCAGAGCACTGCAGGATGCTGCTGGTGCTTGGGGTCACTGCCCTACTCATCCCTTCTAGTTAGGGAAGGAATGGGCTATCGCATCTACCCTACATGTTCACTATAGACTCTTCCTTTCATTTCATTTGGGAGTAGCTGCTCAGCTTTGTCAGTGTTTACTAGCTGGCTGAAGCCCGGTGTGAATAAAGTCACATCTGTACTAGTAAGAACAAAGGTAACCTCTACTTTAACTGAAGTTGCCTACCCACCACCTTTTGGATACAGAGATTACAACCCGAGGATATTGAGTCAGTTTCTATTTTGATATGCAATAGCAGCTGAGAATCCAAGAACGGGGTTTTTTTTGGTTGGGGTTTTGTTTTTTGGTTTTTGGTTGTTTGTTTTTTTTGGGGGGGGGGGGGGGGTTGTTTTTTTTTCCCCTTCTGCACTTGGTGAAAAGGCTTTTCTGTCTGATGTATAAGTTAACCATAGCTATCCATGGCTTACCATGTAAATAGGACTGCAGCATGGTACTCAACATGAATCTGTACCCAGATAATACATGAAAGCTGGTTGGCACATAATAGTTCTTCTTTCAGGAAATAAATTGCATTGGTGTTTCATGAGCTTGAAGGAGATTCAGCTTCTTTCAACATAATGGTTTCACATATGAACATCTAGATAGTTCAAATCTGGCTACATTACAATTAGAGGTGCACCAATAAATCGGTCCATATTGTATCGGCACCAATAAAAGGAAAATTGACATCATCAGCAAATCAGCTTTTTTGGCCAATAAATGCTGTGTGCATGTGCACAGCCGCAGCATGCACATGGCCAGCTGGGCAGGTGGAAGAGCAACATCTAGCTGGTAAGTAAGTCTGCTGGGGGGAGGGGGAGCAAAGGGGCATGGGGGATAGCAGATCAAGGGCCCTGCAGTAAAGGAGGGAGTGGAGCTGGGGAAGGGGCAGGCACTGCTCAGTCAGGGCAGGGTGCAAGGCAGAGTAGCAAGAGGCTTGTCTGGGGGGCAGGGGTGCCCCCCAGATCTGTGCACAGGGTGAGGACAGGCTCCAGGCTCTTCCTGGTGCAGGGGCTGGACCAGGGCTGCACTTCAGGCAGGCAGCAGCAGCAGCACTGGGGGGAGAGGGGAGATATTCCCCAAGCCAGGAAGAGCCAGACACAGGCCCCCACCCCACCACACAGTGGCAACCCTTCCTAACCCCATTTGGAAGATCTGGGGGACACATGTCCCTCATGGCTCCCCCAGGGGTATGTGTAGTGGTGGGATCCATATCCCCCAGAAAAGCCACACTGCTCCATCCCTCACCCTGTCCTGCCCAGTCAGGGCAGCACCTGTCCCTGCTGTATCCCCTCCCAGGTCCACTGCCTCCTGCCCTGGCCCTAGCATAGCTGCCAGGAAGAGCCCAGCGCAGCACACGAGTGCACAGCAACAGCCCACCCTCACCCCACACAGATATGATGGGCACATGCCACCCATGCCTTCTCCAGAAGCATGTGCAGCAGCAGGAGCTGCCCCCGCACTGCCTCCCTCAGCTGGGCAGTGCCTGGCCCTGCCCCAGCCCCACTCCCTCCCTCACCGCATGGGCCTCTTTCCCACCCCACAGACTTACCGGCTGGATGCTGCTCTACAAGCTGCCAGGCTGCATTCCTGGGCACGTGCATGCTGCGGCTGCTTGCATACACGCGGCATTTATTGGCAACATTATCAGCCACATCAGCCAAAAAGAGCTGAGTGACAATAATGTCCTTTCATTGGTGCCAATACGATATGCACCTCTAGTTTCCAGGAAATCATCCTTCCTGCATGGAACTTAGTAAGTTTTACAACTCAAGCTTTCAAAATCTGTTCTGTTAAGCTGTTTGTTCTTGTCTGCTGGTGCTCACTGAAGAGTCTAGCTGCAGTGCAGCCTAATCATGATGAAAGAGTAAAGGAATTAGCTAATTCTAGCCAGGAATTTTTTCTAAAGTGAAATTAAAAATGCAAGTACCATCATACCTATTCATGCCATTTTCTGAA